CCTGTGACAATTGTCATCATTTAGTGTTAAAGAAATTGGGATCATTGTTTAGTGTCATAGGAAAATTCTTTAACGAATATTTTACATCCCATGATGAATTTCAGACATTCAGGGATTACACTGACAGAGACAGGAAGGAAAGTTACCTCCCTCACACTTTTAAAGTAAAGTAGTTTGGCGTATACACCATATGTCATTACTTAATTTGCCTTGTGTTAATTCATTTCCCCCATTTATTTATGATATTTTAAGTAAAAAAAAATACTTTAGCTGAAGAATAACTATAAATTATAAAAATAACCTCTACACTGAAAAACTATAATGCTGAGACTTAATTGATTTGGAAGAGGGAATACAGGTATAAGTCATTAGAAAGATCTGTAGATGATTTGAAATTATTTATTTTTAAAATTGCTTTAATATTTAATTGGTGATTTGGAACATAGGATTAATTTTTCTCTCCTTTCCCTAAACCTTATGAAAACTGTTTTATGACTAAGTCTGATGTCATTACAATATTCGTAGGACGGAATCTTAATCTAGTGACTCAGAAGTTGCAAGGGGAAGAATTTCAAAGATTAACATCAGTGGTATTTGAAATATTTCAATACTGAGAATCTCTTACTAAAAATAAGGACAAATGAATAACTTCACTGACTGATGAAATGCTTAGATCAGAACTACAATGGCAGAGCACAGAACAAATTAGAATAATTTAACAAATCATCATGATTACTCATAATAACCTCAGCATTTGCCAACCAATTTTTCTTGTCAAAATACATTGTTTCTTAAGGGGTTCACACCCTCAATTTGTAAAATTTCTTTCCATAAATGTTCTGATTCTGGCTAGGAAACATTCCCAAGCTTGTTTCTGCAGAAACAATGATAGGGAAGGAACTTGATTTGGAGGCAGAATAGAATGAATTCAAATCTTGCCTCTAATACTTGTCAGGATTGTGACCATGGAAAAATCAAACATGCTCTCAAATCTTAAGTTTCTTTATATGTAGAATGGGGATAATAATTTCTGAAATACTAAATTCATGAGATTATTGTAAATTACTTTGCAAACCTCAAAAGACTAATAAATGTCATTTCTTAATGTATTAGCTTTCTGGGCACTAGAAAGTCTTGAGCCAGGAGAAATTTCCTCTGCCCCTTAGCCCCAACCCAAGCAATATACTTTATAAATGAATGAGAATCTCCTTCCCCAACATATTGTCATAGGATCATAAATTGAGAATTAGAAGGAATCTTAATATCATATAGCTCAACCTCCCCCTGCCCTATTTTGCAGATGAGGAACTGAGACCTAGGAAGGGGAGATGACACATCTAAAGGTACACCAGTCATTCAAATAAACATTTATTAAGCTTCTAGTATTACCAGACATGTTGACTGCTGGGAGTGCAAAGAAGGGTAAAAACGGCTCTGCTCTCAAAAAGCTCACAGTATAACAGGGAAGACAGTATGCAAACAATTATGTATAGTCAAGCCACATATAGGAAAATAGGGGAAAAAATTGTCACAATTAACAGATGAAAAGCACTAAAATGAAATGGGTTTGGGAAAGGCTTCCTGTAGAACGTGAGATTTTAGCTAGGACTTAGCCAAGGAAGCCATGAGGCAGAAATGAGGATAATGTTCCAGGAATGGGGGCCAGCAAAGTGGAAATGCCCAGTCAGGAGATAAGGTATATTATTTGAGGAATAGCAAGGAAGCCAGAGTTACTAGACAGAGTCTGTGAGGGGTAAGGGTAAGGAGTAAGGAGACTGGAAAAACAGGCAGGCATCAGGTTATAAACGGCTTTCAACATTAAATAAAGAAGTTTATAGTTGATGCTGGAGGTAATAGGGAGCCACTGTTGTTGATTACGTATGTGAGGGGTGGGACGGGGAGGGTGGTGACATGGTCAGGCCGTTGCTCTAGGACAGCTGGGTAGAGGATGAACTGGAGTGCAGAGAGACTTGTGGCAAGGAGACCAACCAACAGGCTATTTCAATATTCCAGGTGTGAGGTGAAGATGATCTGGGTGGTGCCAGTGTCACAGGAGAAGAGAGGATGTATGCTTGAAAATTGATGAAGATAAAATTGATAGTCCTTTGCAAGAGACTGGATTTGAATGGTGAGAGATGAGGAGTCAAACACATAGGTTGTGAGCCTTAATTTCTTTAATGAACTTTCTATTTTGAACCTTTATGAAAGTTTTTTTGCTAGGGCTCCATGTTCACTAGGAATTCCAGAGGACTCCCTTCATTAGGCACAATTAGTTTGATTTCCTTCAAATTACATTTGCTTGTTTTATTTTTTTCTCTTTTAGGTTCTATTTATTCTTCCTATAGTTTTTAGGATCATCTCTGTCAATTACCTGCTTGTGCACTGGACTTGGTATGGTTTTGTTATTCTTTTGGTACCGACCATTTTCTTGTATTCCTTATCACTGTTGCTCTTTGACCCCTCCCCTTCGGCTGATAGAGACTCCTGAGGTTGTGCTGTTTTCGGCCTCAGTCTCACTGAGGAGAGGACCAGCCCCAGTGGTTTTCCATCACCCTTGCCTTTAGGCTTTTTACTATCCTCTCCAGCATGTGACTGAATGTGGTCAAACATATTGGCATATTTTTGCCCATCTAATTCCTCTTTTCCCTTTCCCTGCCTTCAGTTGGCTGGGTAGAATCAGCACCTGACATTTCTTGTGGAGTGGAAGGGAGATGGGCATTCAGCCAGTCTGTCACCACAATGGAGTGAAGCAGAGTTGTGTTCCTGCTTCCATGCTCTTCAGCATGTTTTCTTCCATGCTGTGAGATGCCTTCAAGGGAGTTGAAAATGGCATCAAGATCAGTTTCCACACAGATGGTAACCTATTTAATTTAAAAAAGCTATAAGCCAAGACTAAAGTAGAGGGGGAGTTGGTAGAAAACTTTTTGTTTGCAGACTGTGCACTCAATTCAGCCTCTGAGGCTGAGATGCAACAAAGTATGGATCAATTCTCTGCTCCTTGTGCTAATTTTGGCCCAACAATCAACACCAAGGAAACATAAGTCTTCTACGAGCCACCATGGCACCATCTATATGGGAACCATTGGTTCCCGTAAATGGAGAAATTTTGAATGTTGTGGATAAGTTTACTTACCTTGGCAGTATACTCTCTGAGGTATAGATGATGTTATTGATGCACGGATTGCCAGAGCTAGCTCGGTATTTGGAAAGCTCCAAAAGAAAAGCGTGGAAGAGAAAAAGTATCAAGCTGCATACCAAACTGAAGGTCTACAGAACCATCATGCTGACTACACTGTTATATACCTGTGAAACCTGGACAGTCTATCTGTGCCATGCCAGAAAACTGAACCACTTCTACTTGAATTGTTTCAGGAAGATCCTGAAGATTATTTGGCAAGATAAGGTAACAGAGGTCTTCTCTAGAGCTAACTGCCAAGCATTCAAACTACTGCAGAGAGCCAACTCCAATGCACTGGTCATGCAGTTCAAATGACAAACATACACTTAGCCAAAAGACTATTTTACAGAGAACTTGCACACTGACAACCGCTCACATGGTGGTCGGAAGAACCAGTATAAGGATACTCCCAAGGTGTCTCTGAAGAACTTTAGTACTGACTGTGAGACATGGGAAATGGTGGCATAGAATCATCCAAGCATGGCATGCTCCCATCAAAGAAGGCTCTATACTCCATGAATAAAGCAGAATCATAGAAGTACAAAAGAAACATTAGCTAAGCAAATCCAGAGTCACTTCCACTCTAAATGTTCTACCGGACCACCGCTTGCACCTGATTTGTGGTAGGACCTTCCAAACTCTTACGGGTCTGATCATCCACAGCCAAACACACTATACCTTGATTCCAACATGTGATGTTGCTGGTCTTCTTCAAACATAAAGGACAAACAACAGCCAGTCACTACAGCTAGAGGCCCTATAGCTGGGCCTCCAGTAAAATCCTGTATGTTTCCTGGTATTCACAATAGAAGATGAACTTAGGTGTTTTAAACTTTGTACAGGGGTTCTGTTATCTCGTGAAATAAGCTAGTTACTCATCTTTGATTCTCTAGTGCATCATTCTTTAAAAAAAAAAAAATTAATATATTAGGTTTCCAGTTGAATAGATTTACACAAATCATCTCTTCTACCACCTTTCTAGACTCACGTCCACATTCCCCCTCAAGTTCTCCCTTTCCTGTTACCCATGGGCTTCTGGCTGACTTTTTTGTGTATTTCTAGGGTAAAAGTCATCCAATTTTTCACTGGATTTCTTGATAAGTATTTGGCATGCTGTGAATTTCAGGTTTGTGCTGAGTAGCTCTGTGGGAACTAGGCTGTCTATCTCCATTCATGCAGCTATCACCGCTGGAAATCTGAAGTCTCCAAGGTAGCAGTTGGAGCAGAAGAAAAGACTGTATGTAAACAATACTGTACTAAATTCCTTTTGCAAGTAGTAAAATTTGGCCAATTCAGGGAAAATCTGATCTGCCTTTCTAATAAATAAAAAATAGCAATCTTCAACACAAAATGCTAGAAGCTACTATATCTTTAAGGCTTAAATCACATTTCATTAATTCGACATATTACTACGATTTTCTTAATAAATCTTATGGAAGAAAAAAATTTCCTCTATTGCTCAATAACCACTATCAAGATATTGATAGGTATTAAAAGGAAGAGAGAGATTGTTGAATGATAATGGCAGAGTGAGGGTCTGAAAGTAGCAAAGAGAAACCAGTAATATGTTTATTCAACCTTACAGTCCAGTGTGTAGGAAGGGAATGAAAAGGCTACATCTGGTATGGGAGGAAGTGACCAAGGATACAATATTTTGGGGGGTAAAAGGTGACTCACAACTTTTTAAAGGGTTGCATGTATTTTTTAAAGTCATATGTATATATATATATATATATATATATATATACACATACACACACACACATATATATATGCAATTATAACTAGATATAAAGACAAATAATGGTCACAACAAGGAAAAGAGGCTGCTAGATTTCTTTCAAAATTCAATACAGTTTAATAATAATTATTATTATTTTTTTTTTTTACAAATGCTTATTTAAATATATTACTTAGGACCCAACATGTCCTTGGGTTTCACCCACTCATCAAACTGTTCTGCTGTGAGATATCCAAGTTCAATAGCTGTTTCTTTCAATGTTGATCCATTTTTGTGTGCTGTCTTGGCAATCTTTGCAGCCTTGTCATATCCTAAAGGAAAAAATAAAGAGGAAATAAAGAGCTGTTTCCACACAAAAAATAATGCAGCTACAAGGTATCATATAAATGTCTATTTAAGAATGCAGCAAAGTAAATCTAAAAAATAAACACAATAACTTTTTTTTAATAAAGCCTTCAATAACCCACAAGTCAAATTCTATATTAACAATGTTGCAGGGTACCAGACACTGGTGATTAGCTGCTAGATATGTTTTACAATTTACAATATGCTTTACACATATTATCTTGATTCTCACCACAAACAGTGTTATTCCTGTTTTAAAGATGAACAAATTCAGGTTCATGCAAACTTAAAACATAGCTGATAAACAACGGAACCAGGACTCAAATCCATTCCAAGTTCGTGGACAAGCTGTGCCAAAAGCCCTCTTTCTAGCTTGCTTCGGACTAAGCTTCACATCTTCTAAGTTCATCCAGGGCTTTTGCAAATAATGTATTAAAAGTTGTTTTGAACAACTCTCCTCTTTTCAGTTCCTGGTGGCTTTTAAGGAAGAAATAATACCTATACTATACAAATGATTCTCAAAATAGAAGAAGCCTCCTTTCAAAGGCAAACATAGTCCTCACACCTTAACCAATGAAGGATAAAGAAATAACGGTAGAGTAATCTAGTGAATATCAATTAGAAATTTTTAAAGAAAATCCTGCCAAAAAGAATATAGCAGCACTCATTAGAGTGGCAAAAATGAAAAATGTTGGAGGGGATACAGGAAAACTGGCATTCTAGTGTACTCATTGGTGGGGTGGTGAATTGGTCTGGCCATTCTGGAAAACAATTTCGAACTAGGTTCCAAAAGTTTTTGAACTGTACACCCTTTAACCTAGCTATACTACCACTACTAGGACAATACCTCCAAAGGAATCAAAGAAAGAGGAAAAGAACTTAAACATAAAAATATTTATAGGAGCTCTCTTCACAGCCCCAAACTGGAAACTAAGAGAGTGTCTACGTACTAGGGAAAGGCACAATTTGGAACACATGTATATTGGAATATTTGTATGCCATAAGAAATGACAAAATGGACAATTTCAGAAGAAACTATGAAATGATGCAGAGTAAAGTAAGCAGAACTAGAAGTACCATTTATACAATGACAACATTGTAGAGAAAAACAACTTTGAGAGGATATGATTTATAAACCAAGAGTCCAGAGCACTTCAGTGAATATGAAGCATGCCACCCATTCTCCCGTCAGAGAAATGATGGGCTTAACATGCAGAATTACATATACATTTTTGGACATGGTCAATGTTTTGTTGTACTATACATTTGTCATGAGGGTTTTATTTTTCATTTTAAAAACTGTTTAACTGGGGGGAGCAGCAAGGGAGAGATAAATGTTACTTTAAAAAAAAATCAGAGCACCTTATTAAAAAAAACAGAACCAAAAACAACAACAACAACAAAATGTTACTATGACTGAGCTGGTTTTATACCAGGGGATGAAATGATGATTCATTAAAAAACAATTAGCACAATTACTCATTAAAATTAAAAAACAAAACCAAAAAAAAAAACCAAAACCCCAGCAAATCACATGATTATATCAATAGATGTAGAAAAGTCTTTAATAAATTATAACATTTATTTATGCTAATGGCCCTTAAAAGCAGGCATAATATCTTTTTTAGTAAGATAAAAAACATCTGTCTAAACCCAAAAGCTAGCACTATATTCAATAGGGAAACATCAGAAGTCTTCCCAGTAAATATAGAAGTAAAGCCAGCATAACCCTTTACCACCAACCCCAGACATAGTCTTAGAAATATTAATAAGAGAAGTACGACAAAAGAAATCAGTACCCCTTGAAGCATGTGGTTTCTGAGCTCCTTTCCAACCCTAGAGATTCTCAGATTCTCAAGGTACCAATTACCTATACTCTGTTGATGGGTCTCAATATCCACACCTAACTCAGGGCTGCCTTGCTCCAATAAGTGGACTGCAGTTCCACGCACAGGCCTCCATAGTTTAATTCCTAATTCCTGCCTTGATAGTATAATAATAATTTAAAAATTCTATTTCTGCACCCCTCCTCACTTGAAATTCACCCATCCAAATTCTATACTTCTTTATAAGCTCAGCTCAAGTCTCCACTTCCTTCATAAAGTGTTTTCAAACACCCCCACCTACAGTGATAGCTAAAATCTCTAAAATTATATATTTGTGTAAATATCTAGAACTAGTTGTATTTCTTCTTTTCAATTAGATTATAAGCTCCTTGGGGCAGAATTATTTATATTTTCATCCCACATTAGCACCCAGTCCCTCCTTGGCATAAAGTTGGGATTTATTGATGCGATTAAAATTCCCTTTACAATGAAAAAACAAAATAGAGGGATATTTAGTTGGCTGGAATATTTGCTATTTATTATTAGTGCTAAACTAATAAAATTACCAAAGGGATATTTTACAGAGCTATACAAAACAGAAAAAAAAATTCACTGATGGGCAAAATTTCTAGAATATTAAAAGAAAACAATGGGGGGAAAGGTAGCAATGAAGGAGGTAGGAATAACACGTAATTATATTATAAAGCAGTAATCATTAAAAATACGGTGGAACAGACTAGACAATGAAGAATTAAAAATAATTAAACTCAATAATCAAATGTTTGATAAACTTCAAAATTTAACTAGGGGAAAAAAAACTTTATTTGACAAGAACTGCAGCAAAAACTGAAAAAATTATGGAAAAAAAAATAGGTTTATGTTAACATCATACCAGATGCAATAAATTCAAAATGGATACATGACATGGATACATGGATACATGTATTAAAGATTATACCATCAAAAAAAAGAGAAGCAGAACACATTAATTTTTATGGCTATGGATAAGGACAAAACAAGAGCAAGAGGTATTACATGAAATTGAAAAAGTTTTTGCATGAACAAAATGAATGCAACTAGGTTAAGAAAGAGTTCAACAAGGGAAAAAAAAACCCTTTGTATCAAATCTCTCTCATAAGGATATGCTATTTAAGACACAGAGACAACTTATAAGACCAAAAGCCATTCCCCAATAGATGTGGAAGTAGTTTTCACTCCTGGAGATCCCTTCTCTTACTGGCTGATTCCTTCTAATTGAACCCCCATTTTAAGTAAAATGCCCATACCAGCCATGTTTTCCTTCCTCTCTGGACTTCACTTCTGACTATCTGGACTTTCTCTACCATGCCCTCTACCTTCCCACTTTACTCCCTTCTTTTAAGCTTCCATGTAAAGTGTTGTTTTCCCTTATTAGAACGTAAACTCCTTAAATGTACAAATTGTCTTTCTTTCTGCTTGTATTTCTATTCATAGTCCTTAGCACAGTGCCTAGAATATAGTAATAAGCACTTAATAATAAGCACTTTTTGAGATGATTCTTTTATTTACTGATGTCTTTCCAGACATATGTGTAGGCTGTAAAGTGGTAAAAGAAGGGTAATAGTATATATTGAATATTCTTTAAAAGCTAGGATTTTTCTCCTCTTTGTAGCTGACAATAAGCAATTTATGCTGACATTCTATGATAAGATTTGTTTCTACTTACTGTTAGGAACAGTATAAAGATAAAAGCAAGAAAGACTTAAGAAGAAGACTAGATCAACGTGCTTGTGAGAGATACTAAATTAAACTATGCCACCACCATATATCTCTTAGCTAGTATACATCTCTTAGTACCATTTCTTAAGGCAACATGCAGTGTGCAATTTGGAGAAGGAAAGGCTTGTTTCCCAGTTGGCTTCAACTACTTATTAGCTAACTATGTAACCATGGAAGTGTTTCTTAACCCCCTCTCAGGTTCTTCATCTGTAAACTGAGTATTATAATATTCACCTCACAAGACTGTTGTGAAGCTCAGACAAGATAATACAATAGATATAAAGAGATTTACTAACTTTAAAGGGGCCATTTATATGCCAGCCATCATTATTAACAAAGAAAGAAGGGACACAGGGGTATGCAGAACAAAGACAGTTTATGACATATAATACACAAGGCACACAAGAAAGCATAGCAGAAGGATCAGAAGGGAAAGGCTTCATGGAAGAGGTAGCCCATGATGTCAGTCTTGAAAGTAGAAAAGGATTCTAGTTATAGACAATGCCCATGAAACTGAGCAGAGGTACAAGATAGAATATCAAGTTTGGGGAACACTGAGCAGGCCAGTTTCATTGCCCTTTGGCTCCACTCACCATCCTTGTAACTTCCCAGACAAATACTCCCTAGATCATCATGCCTTTATATATATTTATTATCTCTGCCAATTAGAAGTCAAGTTCCTCAAGAGCCAGGATTGTCTCACTTTTGTATTTGTAGCCCTAGCTCTTAGTACAGTGTTTATTAGTACACAGCAATATTTTTGTCATTCATCCCAATTTGAGTTCATGAAGGGGAGTATGAAATAAGCCTGGAAAGGCAAGAGAAGAGTACTAAGGTCCAGGCTAAGGAGTTTGTATTTTACGCTATAGGCAACATAGTAGAGTGCAACGAGAGCCAGCTTCAAAGACTGAAAGACCTGAATTCAAGTCCTGTCAACATATATTATATCAAGTCAAGACATATTGACTGTTACCTTGAAGCCCCTCAACAAAGATTATAAGCTGCATAAAAGGTGTTGACTTGCACTGGTAGAGGTAATTTTCTTATCTGGAAGTCCTTCCAAAGCAATGAAATCAGAGGTCCTGTTCCTATCCTTACAGGCAATGAAGAGCCACTGGAGTTTTCAGCAAGAGGGTACCCGGGTGAGATACTAAGAGGATTGCTTTGATAAAACCTGTGGAAGATGGAGTGATGGAAAAGACTGGAGACTAGGAATCCAATCAGGAGGCAGCCTAGGAAGTAATGAGGTAATAAACTAGGGCAGTGGCAATGTAAATGGAGAGATAGGGATTTGAAAATAGATGTTTTCAAGACTTGGTAACTGACCAGGTACCAGAGAAGAAGGAAGAGTCAAATATTTAAAAGATAACTCTAGGATTTTGAAGGAAATAAATGCTGAGAGATTAATAAAAAACAATGTACCCACCAAAATGCCAAATTCTTCTGATGATTTTGAGATCAAGAACACAGTATTAGTTGTTAGAAAATATTAAAACTGATAAATATCACTGCTGTAACAGTGTTTAAATAAAGCAGGATAAGATTAGGTTGAGATGCCTAAGCCAGATTACCCTATTTCTGCAAAATTAGTTTTAAGTTGACATCGAAAGGAATATATAATCTGTTTAACTAATTCAGTATTATAAAGATGAGAATATTTACAAGTAGTCTAGATCCTAATTTCCACAACAAAATGATATTAAGATTAGACTCGTTACCATGAAAAAAATTTCTAAATTCCCCACAACATATCAAGGTTTTATTTCGTAAGCATTATGTGACTTGTCCATGTACCATGTTTTACATATTTTATTCCTGATAAGGAAAGGAGAAAGTATTTTAAAATTCTATTTCTGAAGGAAATGAGTTTCAACAAAAACTAGCACATTTTGAAAAGATCAAAATAATATAGAAGAGTAGAAATATCAAACAAAACACATATTGCCAATGATCTAGTCATTAATCAATAAAGAACAAGTGCCACCTAGTGACATTTCCAACTGGGTATTATTCTGAATCATCCTTCCATAAATGTTAGCCATATGAATTTCACCATGATAAAATAATCATAAAAAGTTTTTACCCAAGTTCAGTAAGCTGTTTCATAAAAAAAAATCTGATTGAAAACTAAATGGAATTTTGACCAATAAATATAGCATTTTCAAAATACTATATATAAATTCTTAGCATTCACTATTTAAACAGAAAAAGTTTTGAGTGTTTACTGAAATATATAATGTTCAAAAGTCATTTGCTGTTTTTTTTTCTTTTTTAAATCACGGCCTAAGTGTTATAGTCACACATTTCTTCCCTCAATACTTACCTATATGAGGATTAAGAGCTGTCACCAACATCAAAGATTCACTCATTAGTTTGTTGATCCTTTCTACGTTAGCCTGAATTCCAACCACACAGTTATGAGCGAAGGAAACTGATACATCCCCCAGAAGTCTTGCTGAATTTAAGACATTTTTAATCTACAAAATAGAGGAAAGATAAAGTGCCCACATTATATGCTCATAATAACATCTTATACATACATAAACATCCTATATAACTTCATACTGAGTGGACCCATGACAAACTTATAGGAAGATGTGAACAATGGTCCCACTGGACGGGCAGACAGGGACAGGCTGTAATCTGAACTGGGATCACAGATCTACTGTGGCAAAATGGATTCTCTGTCTCTGTGTCTGTCTCTAAAACACACACACACACACACACACACACACACACACACACACACACACA